GCGTTGATTTTTTAACGGAGCAGCTGACAGGGTGGACTGAAGTTAGCTACGTGGCTGTGTGAGGGTAATACGTGGCTGTGTGAGGGTGATACGTGGCTGTGAGAGGGTAATATTACTGAGGTTAAGAAATTAGGGTTTGAGTTAGAGAGAAATTGGTGTTTGAGATACGAATGACTTCTTCTGAAGGGTGTTCGTCGTGCTCGAAAAGTACCGCGAGGCCAGCCCTCTACCTGCAGAAAACCAGAACCAAAAACAAAAACCAAAACCCAGAGATCCAGCGGCCAACCTCGGCGAAGTTTCGTTGATCTCCGCAAACCTGTCGCTCGAGACCCACCGCGCGAACCACCATCGAAACCCCAAGGGTCGCGCCTCTGCCGCTGTGTCGCTCACAAGCTCCGCCGCCGCAGACCACCCCAAAGCTGTCGCAAGTTGTCCCAACGTGAGAGAAAGGAAGTTGCCATATGGTTGCAGAGCAGCGCCGAAGGAGAAGAGAAGGGAAAACTATATCTTTCCCTCACATGAGCGTGACGAAGCAGACATAAGAAGAAGATGGTAGAAAGAAATTGGGATTTCCAATTTAGGGTTCATAATCCTTTCAGATTGGGAGTTTTCCCTCTTAATTCTAATTTTAATTAGGTTTCTAATTTTCAAATTTAGGATTTTTCGAATTAGGAAAACCACGTATTACCCTTACACAGCCACGTAGTAAACATCAGTCCACCCTGTCAACTGCTCCGTTAAAAAATTAACGCCGTTTCCAAAAAGGACTTGATTGCACACTTTTTACAAAATTTGGGACCACATTGAACTTCTAAAAAAGGTAGGACCCAATTGAACATTTGCCCCCTTTCGAGGGACCAAAAGAGGTATTAAACCTAAATTCTTTTACTAAAATATCCCAAAAATTAGACAAAGAAAGCATAATCTAAAAACAAGCTTTCAGGGAAAAGGCTATCCTCTTTCCTCGAACAGGCTTCAAACTTTCGTATCTATTTATATAATTCGAAGGTTTTAATATATCTACTAAGAGGATACAATCACCTGCGAATATATAGCAGATATACCGAAATCAACTCTGACACAAGGATATAGCATCCAAGTATATCTTTTACACCATTTTTATCGGTTCTACCACAAACTACGGGAACTTAAAATGCTATAAAACTACAAGTTGCAAAGAACACAAAACAAAACACAAGCTTAATTGTCAAACATCTTCAAGACAAAGAAACGACAGCTATGGAATCTACCAAGTTCAATTTGCTCTTCTTTTACGTAATTTTTCTTGCAATACTCCCCACCCTTAAGGCTAACATAGGTCACATGGACCATGTCTGGCATAGGCGAATGAAGGAAGCAAGGGAAGCAGCAAAAAAGGCATACAAGCCAAACCCCATGAAAGTTACCGCTGAATTCAATACACAAGTCATGAGGTAAACGTTGCCAAAATATCTTTATCTTTAATTATCTCTTTCTCCTTTCTTCAGTGCAATAGATGAACATGAAAACTAAGAGAAAAATGTATGGCTTCACAGAGCGTTGAAAGGCTCCAACAGCACGAGAAGGGACTTGAAGAGCAATAGTAAATGCACGCCGGCAAACCCAATTGACCAATGTTGGAGATGTGACCAAAATTGGGATAAAAACCGAAAGAAGCTTGCAGATTGTGTAATGGGGTTTGCCCACGGCACAACCGGAGGCAAAGACGGGAAAATCTACGTGGTAAACGACAATTCCGACAACGACCTACTGGACCCTAAACCAGGAACATTGAGATATGCGGTTACTCGGCCAGAGCCACTGTGGATCACTTTTTCGAAAAGCATGAACATTAAGCTGAAAGGAGAGCTTATGCTAACGGCTAACAAGACGATCGATGCACGTGGTGCCAATGTGCACATCAAAGATGGTGCCCAGATAACGATCCAGTACGTGAACAACATTATCATTCACGGATTGCACATCCACGATATTAAGCCAGTTAAAGGTGGACTTATAAGAGATTCCGTCACCCACTACGGCGTTCGCGCCACCAGTGACGGCGACGGGATTTCCGTATTTGGATCCACACATGTTTGGCTTGATCATCTTTCCATGACCAATTGTTCTGATGGCCTCATCGATGTCGTTAGTGCGTCAACTGCAGTTACCATCTCCAACTGCCATTTTGTCAAACACAACGACGTAACTTACTTCTATCTCTTCAAACATTTCTTTCATATGCATGCATGCATGCATGCATGCATGCTTCTAGTGTTGGTATTCTTCTTTTTGTGGCATGAATTAACGTTGTTCATTTCGTTTGTGTTGTGGCTTTTCAGGTTTTGTTATTCGGCGCCACTGATAGCTTCTCAGGAGATAAAGTGATGCAGGTGACTTTGGCTTTTAACCATTTTGGGAAAGGATTGGTTCAGAGAATGCCGAGGTGCAGATGGGGCTTCTTTCATATTGTTAACAACGACTACACTCACTGGCTAATGTACGCCGTAGGTGGCAGCCAGCAACCCACCATCATCAGCCAGGGAAACCGTTTTGTCGCCCCGGAAGACAGGAATGCAAAAGAAGTATGCAATGTTACATTACATGTTCATGCAACAAACTTTCAAAGGAAACCCTACAAGGAAACCCTACACATTTTTTTTTTTCGTTTCTTTGAATTTATATGCATTAACAAGGTTGTGGCACATGATATACACAGGTGACAAAAAGGACTGAGATAAATTCAAATGGGTGGAAGAATTGGAATTGGAGATCGGAGGGTGATTTATTCGTGAATGGAGCCTTCTTTGTGGAGTCAGGGAAAAAAGTTGCACAGCCTCCCAAGACAGACGTGAAAGCACAATCTGCGAAGTCCGTGGCTTCTCTGACTAAAGATGCAGGTCCTATAAAATGTGTTTTAAACAAGGCCTGCTGAACTAAACATGGAGCACTGCACGCTCAAAATAGAGAGGTTGCAAAACACATACAAATATATATTATGTATATAAGAGTCATGTACAGTCAGACCGAACGCGAATGCTTCTGGGTTTTTTAATTTCCTTCTGTCGCTTTTTTCTTCCTTTTCCCATAGATTCTAATTTTAGGGATGGGAGATGAAGAGAATAGTAGAACTAAGCCAGATTTCTTAAGGCATGGGTGAAATTCTCAATCCTGTATATATTCTTTCATTGTACACAAATTTTCATCTTAAGATGATTTCGAACTATAAAATTGAGTAAAGATTTTTTTACTCACTTAAATATTTTATATTCATTTAATATTATTCTTATTTATTTTTTATTTTTTTATTTTTTTGAAATAATACAAAAATTTATATTTTTTAATTATTTTATTTTTGTAATATATGTAAAATGAACGTGTGTTACGATTAGTATTTCGAATCAAAAGGTGGCAAACAGATTATACTCTCTACAAAACTCAATAGGAAGACATCACTCTCGTCAAACGGTTCATTTATTGGATTCTGATTTGACTATTTTTATCAAAACGGTGCAAGAGACAATAATTATATTAGTGTATGGATCGAAAAAGAATAAAATTTAATCCTAAACATGTTAAATATTGTTGCTTGATAATCTTTAAATAACAAGCTTGAATAGACAGTTATCAGTCTTAAGTGTCTCTACTTTAGAAAGCTCCAGAAAATTTTCATAACTCAATAGTTGCAAAGCCAAAATAGAGGTAATGTTCAAGGCTACGTTATGGATTGATGAAAGGTGAAATGGAGAGAATGGAATGTAACAGATTATTTGGATTGAAAAACAAAGGGATGAGAAGTGTAAGCAACGGAACGTATTTATTACCCCTCAAATAGGAGGTATTTCTTATTTTAATAATACTATTGTATTTTCACTGTACAAGAGTAATTACTCATACCATCTCCAGCAACTCCACATATCTATTCTCACTTGGTCAGTGACCTCTGTTCTCACAACATATACCCCTTCCTCCTTGCCCCTCTATTGCATACTGCCACATGCTTCACATCCCAACCACTTCACTTAACCAAACAATCGTAGACTTTTACTCGAGCTTTGGCATGTTTGAGAAAAGTTATTAAGGGCTTGATGAAAATTCTGATGGAAATATTGACCCCGAGTATAAAACAATGCTGTGGGTTGTTCTAAAGGGCCCAATTATTTTATATAAAATATATAAGCTCAGAATTTTATCAATATAGCAGTCACAATTGAAACAGATAAATAAATGACAACTGTTTAAATACTATCTTTTTAATACTAAAAAAGGTAATAAATGAGGTTGGAAAATAAAAATCATCAATTACCAATTTAAACAGTAAATGAGGTTCGAAAACAAAAAATAAAATAAAGACTCGAACGGGTTCATCACAAAACAAAATTTCAGTTCATTGTATGACACCATATCTATTGCTTCCACGCTTTCCTTCCACGGAACTGTTTGCCAGATCGCTGATTTTTTTTCTTTTTCTCTATCCGGGTTCTTGATACCTTATCTCTCTTTGCAGCCAAGGGCATTTTCTTCTTGTGCTCCTTTTGTCGGTTGCTTAGGCCACCCGTCTGTTCACAGGAAACAATACATGTCCATTGGTTTCCAATCAAATCAAGTAGCACGGCCATTATATGATTTAGTTGTTCTTTCCACTTTCAAATTCAAATTCACAGTTTTATAAAATAAAACATTTTGCCTAGGCCAATCAAATACCTTAGACTGTGTCTTGGATCAAGGTAATAGGAAAAAAAAACAAGAGAAACTAACATACCTTATTCTGTTTTACAGCAGTTCGAGCATGATATTTTCCTCTTTCCTCCCTCCCTGCTCTAACCAATGCCAACCTTTCATCTTTGCTCATCTTTTTCCTTACATGAACCTACAAGATGGGGTACATGAATAGAGATAGCCCTGATTATTGACGTGTATAAGACGAAATATTTTTTTAAAGAGAATCTAGAACTGTATCTCTTTAAACAAAGCTTGTATTTCATCCTTTAGGCAAGGATTGCAGATTGAGATAATCAACCGAGCAACTAAAGCCACTTACTTCCAACATTGCACCATCCACTCGCTTTAGACTTAGTTGATCAGAAGTTGGAACTTTAATTCCTGATGACTTCGCTAACCCCTGCTGAGCCAATGCATTTTTTGCTTCTCTTTTTGCCTACAATTTACATAACTAAATTCAACAAAAGCCACAAACGCTAAAAATTGAACTTACTGAATAAGCCAAAGAAACCTTTAATTTTTTTATTCTTTGGAAGTCTTCATTAGAAAGAATTCCATCTTGAGATTCTGGTAGGACATCCCCCACTTTTGCCCCCGCCAATTTCTTCAGAGCCCGAAGACTTGTATCAGCAGCAATAATTCGACCATCAAAATCAGTAAACTTCCTCTTTTTGGCTGAGTCTTTCAATTTACTTTTAGTCTCCACATTGCCGCCATCACTTAAATAACCATGTTCACCATCTTCTTCATGATCTGAAACATCACCATCCTCTTCATCATTGCCATCCCCCTTATCGTCAACATCTTCATCAGTATCACTGTCACCAGCACTGTCACCAGCTTCAAAATCATAACTCTCATCTTCATCTTCTGATATAGCATCGTTACCTTTGGCTTCATCATCATCACTTTCAGTGTAATCACTGCACAACTGGCTCTCATCATCATCATCATGATCATCATCATCACCATCATTAATACTCATCGGATCATTTTGCTGGTCATTGTCTGAATCACTGCATGCAGAATCATCAGAATGATCACCATCCTGCTCATCGTTGTCAACAGTCTGCAATAACTCAACACCAGAAACATCAGTCGCAACAGTAACTTCTCCATATGCCTTTGGTCTTGCCTTTGGGTCAATAGGCCGTCCACGGTCCTTCTTAACTAGCAGTGAGGGGCAAAGCTGCAAATGAACAATATTAGTTAAAGTTGTGGATAATGTACATGAGTGTGCTTCTGGGCTTAAGCACACAAAGAGACACCTACTCATAACGGAGCCTTAACTACCTCTCTGAATAACCCAATAAGAGACCGAGCTGCCACTGAAACTGCCTTCTCACGGGACTTCTTATATAGTGCAAGGTCTTGTAACAAGTCTTCATTCATTAACTACAGTCCAAAATAAAAATATCAGAATAGCATAGTTAGGGAACATAACAAGGTGCTCAAGGATGATCTACTGAAGGTGGAATAGTGTAGGAAACAAACCCCTAGACCATTTTAGTGACAGTTTGAATTTACAAGTTAACCAGCCATAGTGGTGGGTAAATTTATTTTGCGGAAATAGAAATCAGTAAGATGCATATATCCCTAGGATGATGAGATGGCAGTAGTTACCAATGGCATGCGCATGCATATCTCCCTCACTGCATTTAGTCCAACAGTAATAGCCTAAAAACATGAACCAAAATCATCAAGGAAACAAACTTGAGTGCCCCTGCAACAAAATAAAAATATACAGCAATATATAAAATGTTATTCAGACGGAAAAGAACACCTCTGGACGCGATCGGTCATGTACAAATTGATTTACTATTTGTTTGAACAAGGGCTCAACAGCATCAGGAGGGACCTGAATCCATATAACACCTTGAATGAGATAGGATAAACAGAAAATCATAGGAGAACAAAATATTACACAATAGCTAACAAAAAGTCGAATTCTGAAAGAAAAAACTATACCTATAAAAATAAAATGGATTGAAAATAAATCACAATTATACAGTACCATGTCATGGCAAGCCTGAACAACTGCTGCAAGCAAATTTGTTATGTCTCGTTGATGTGGCTGATTACATGATGAATACATCGCAACTGTCACACTTCAGTAACAAACAGAATACCAAATTTCACCTAATTTATGAAATGATACCTGAATATATTTCTGAAGAAAAGGATAGAAGTCTAGCACAAATAACCGGTGAAGTCCAATTGTTCGAGCAATCAATTTCAGGATCATCATCTTAACCTATATTATGCAGGGTAATCAAAGAACCAAGTCAATATGTAATTTCTGAATAAGCACAAGAAGATTTGAAAGGAATTGCTAATCTTAATCTAATACGGCGATTGGAATGCTTTTTAAGATTTATAAGAGTAGGCACCTCAAATCGCTCGTTACAGTTCTTAAGACGTGAGAACAGCTTCTCAGCAAAACCCTGAAAATCATATGTAATCAAGATGCTGACATAATAAAACAAAATTTGAGCCGAAAATGTATATAGGATGTTGAAATAAAATTTTTACAAACCTGAGCATCTTTAAGATGGTTAAGTGGTGAATAATAACTGTTATTAGTCCTTTCAGATGACATGCGCTGCTGCTTTTTCATGCTGCGTATGGCCCGTTGTAGTTTTGCTTTCTTTTTCTTTTTGCTCGCTGCTGTACCTTGGTGGCTTGCCTAAATATTTGTAAGAATAATCGATAATTATAGACAACTAAGCGTATTTTACTACCTCCATACTCAAATATAAGCAAAAACAATCAATTACACAAGATAGTCAATTAACATTATTCAATTTCACTAATGTCCCTTGAAAATAACTTCATTCTTCAAATTCCCATTATTGGAAGATGATATATCATGAAAAATAAAAAGTAGTCAATAAAAATAGAATCCGTTTAATAAAGGATGTTTTATGATTGATAACATTAAAAAGGATGAAATGTGTACCAACAATTAACCCATTGACCCCTCCACCCCAATCCTGCTCTCTCACAATCACTTTTCCCTCCATATCTTCCATTCCTCTCCTCTAGCCTCAGCAATGATTAGGCTTCAACATAACAGAATTCACTCCACCAGTAACAGACTTCTATCCACTAATCCCACATCATTAACCTGGCTCTTACTTTTCTTGCTATATACGAAGATGGGAAGCCCATGAATGTGTGTGTGTCTATATATATATATATATATATATATATATATATGAAATACCCTGATTAAAAGTGCAACACAAATTTAACGTTAATAGGACAGTTATCATTAAACATCACCTTATAAAGGGTCTCCCTGTTGAGAACAACTTGAGGAGATTCATTTGTTTCATCGTCACTGCCTGAATCATCACTATCATCATCATCTTGAATCTTCTCGTAATCAAGCAGAAATGATAAAGCTGCTATCATAATCCTGAAAGAGATAAAAAAGCATAATCCTTAATGTGATAAAATTTCGATTCTCTAACACAACATACAAAAAAACAGATAAAAGAAAAACCTCGACGATGGATGGAAGGAAGCAGTGCAAATTGCATTTGCTGTTCTTTCATCAAACCACACTTTTCTCCTGTGAAGCTCACATAGGGTCACAAGCGCCCTCTTGGCCGACTCTTCCTCCTCTTTCTATTACAAACACAAATTCACTGACCAGTTAGAAGACTTGAGTGTTTAGATTAGTTTATTTTGTGTTTTAAACTACTTACAGTAAAAAAAACAAAAAAGAGCAAATGACGAGAAAAAGATCATCAAAAAACCTGAAGCAATCCAAACAAGACATTCTGAAGCGCGCGGTTCTTGGCTTCGTTCTTGTGCTTTTGGTTCATGCGCCTTATACTATGAACAACATGATCAAATGCCAGCTTCTTCAGCGTCCTGTCACCTAAGGTTTGAAGTTCCATGAACAACGACAGCGTTTCTCCAACATCAACAACCTACACAAATGCAACATCACATCAAACCACGACACAACTTCCATGAACCCAAATTGAAACGAACCGAGTTTATTTAAACCTTTCTATTAGCGAGGAGGATGAGCGCGTGAGTGAGGTGGCAACGAAGTCCAGAAGGCAACGTGCGCGCCGCGCAGCGAAGCAAGTCGGCGAGTTTGCGAGGGAAATCGGCGAGGTGTTTTGGGTAAAAAGGAGTGACGTGGGAGAGGAACATGGCCCTGTCGCCAAGGTCTTTGGCTACAGTGGGGTCGCTGCCGATGCCGGTGACGGAGGTGAAGCTCATAGCGGCTTGTTTCTGAAAGAGTTCGAGGGAGGAATTGAATTGGTTATAGATAAGATGTAGCTCCGATTCGTAGCCTTCGGGATCGCACTTCATTTTCGATTGCAGTGACGAAAGACTCAGCTTCTCCGCGCTCCGACCGGACGCCGCTAGGGCTTCCGCCGCGGCTACCATGCCGTCGGGACCCATACTCACTCTGTTTGGGTTTCCCACCACCAAGGGATGAAAAACAAAATGCAGCAGTGGCGGTAACGATGGTCAGCCGCAACGCTTGTCTCCGGTGATCCAAATGCAGCAGCAAAATCACAACCGAGGCTTGAAGACAACCAACAGAGAAGGAGAAAGGAAAGAGGAATGACTTTGGAATCAAATGCCAGGAAGAAGAGGAAGTGAGAACAAAGCACCGAAACGGGAATGACTTTGGGAAGAAAGGCGTCGGGGAGGACTAGGTGAAGGAGAAAAGAGAAAAATATTAGGGTTAAATTTGAAAACCCATAATTGTAATTATGGCATTGTATGCAAGTTGAAATTTTCAGGGGTGCGGGAAGCAATTGCGAAAACAAGTGGGGTGAGTCAGGGGAATAGGTGGAGATTAAGGATGGATAAAAAATCTAAATTATGAAATTTAATTCATAATAATTTAAATCTATATTATTTTAAGTCTATTTAATTTGATTTATCTCAAATTTGTATTTATCTTTTTTATTTTAAACTCAATCCATTTAATTGGATTTAAATCATATAATTTTTTAAATTTTAAAATCAATATTTGTTTAAATATAAAATATATATATATATATATATATATATATATATATATATATTAAAAAAATTTGTTAAATAATCCATTATTAATGACATTTTGAATATATAATAAAATATGATAATAAATTATTATACCATTATTATGTGACCCCAAAAATTTATTATAAATATTTTATTCTTTCACAAGTAATTAGTTATGAAAAGATTTGATTTGATTCTGTTTATTTTAATTGTAGATGATTTTATTTGATTTGATTTTTGTAGATTTTATTTTACTTGTTCTATTCTTAGTTTATTTTAGGTTTAATACATTATTTAGTCTCTAATTTTTGGGGTTTGGTTCAAAATGGTCATACTTTTTGAAAAAGTTCAGTAAGACCCCATATTTTATTTAAAAATTTCAATTCGGTCCTTTTCGTGGATGTAGTTAGAAACATAACGGTGCATATGCCACTGTGGCCAAATCTGAGTAAGCTGTTATGTTGGATAATTACGTGGCACTGTAAAGTGTGTGCTCTTTTATTAAAATCAAACAAAATTTCAATCTAAAACCCCAATGTTTTAAGAACCCTAAAGTGGAAATTAGAATTAGAAACTCTAAATTGGGGATTTTTTCCTCTGACTTGGGGATTTTTCCCTCTAACATCAGAGGATACTATATATAATTGTATCAAATATTGAAGCAGAGACTCTGTTAGGCATTGCCTGTGAAGGAAATTAGACCCTTCAACTGGATATTGAATAACTGTGTTAGCTGATTAGGAAAACTGACACACCTATCACCCGCAGGCGTGTTTGTATCCCTTTGAATTGGGGATTTTTTCCTAATTTAGGGTTTCTCATTCTAATTTCCACTTTATATGTTTTTAACGACATGCACAAAAAGGACCGTAAGACATACACAAAAAGGACCGAATTGAACATTTTTAAACAAAATATGAAGCCTTATTGAACTTTTTCAAAAGGTAGGACCATTTTGAACTAAACCCCCAAAAGTAGGGACCAAATGATGTATTAAACCTTTATTTTATCTTAGTTTAGTAATTTTGTTTTATTTCGGTTTTTGTGATATTTTGCTTTATTTTGTTTTATTTGTTATTATTATTATATTGTTTTTGTTTTATTTTATCTAAACTTACTTTGTTTTATTTTGTTATTTTCCTTCGATATCTTATCCTGTTTTACCAATTACTGCACTTTCTCGTATTTTTCTACTAAAGGTATATATTTATATTTTATTGTCAATCACCATTTTATCTGTTACTTTAATTTTTCTTCTCTTTTTCTGCCATTTCCTAAATTATTAGGATGATCTTTGATTTATTTTTTTAAAAAGGGCTTTCCTTCAATTCCTCTGGACTACAGGAGAGAGATTCTTCTTCATTTTTGGACTCCATAAATATCGAAACCCTCTCTATTATTCTTCCGCAATTCCTCATATCATTATCTCCTATGTCAATGACAATCTTCAATTATAACCAGAGGCGAATAGATCTAATCCTTCCTACTTCATTTCGGCCGATACAGAAGCTATCCGATTCAATCCCAAAACCAGCAACACTCCCAAAGGCAGAACAAAAAATAAAGGAAAAGAAGTACTACCGCTAACGCAGATCCTGACGCTGACTGGAGCTATCGTCGGCCACTGTGATGGTGAGCCGATAGCGGTGTATTGCGGGTGGTATGATAGCAAGGCAATTGCCGTGGAGGTGGGCACAACTTCAGCAGTTGCAGCGCGGAAGAAGAAACGCCGGTGAGGCGGCACTTCATGTGTGGGGGCTGACGATACTTTTCCTCGACCATAGGCGGGGGCAACGGTGCTGGACTATTGACGAGGTAGGAGATGCCATTGATGAGAGTGGAATATGCCGGTCTCAAAGAAGATGGCTTCCAAAATAAGAAGGAATGAGTTTTGGGGTATTCTGATCTGGAGAACACAAAAGAAACCCTTGTGGTTTCAGTTTCTATAGACGGGAAGAAATGGGGCCAAGCTTAAAGGGCTCTGCCCTAATTTTTATTGAAGAACGAAAAATCAAATGGACTCCAAATTTGGGTTTGGGCTGATTGTTAACTTCACTGCTGCACCTTTATTTTCAACTGGGATCGGACCAAACTGATTGGGTCGCACTTCTGGTTCTTTTTCTGCACCTCTATCTTTATTTCTTTTAATTTATTTTTGTTAGTTTCTGTTGAATTGTTGGATTGTTTTATTATTGATTGTGTAACCTCTTATGAAAATCTTCACTGTAACTGGTGTTCGATTTATTAGTCAGAGTTGTTTGTTTGTTACGTTCAAAATAATAATAATAATAATAATAATAACAATAATAAATAAATATCATACAAATTTTTGTATATTTGATTTATAAAATATACGTTAGTAAATTTATTATAGATATTTAAAATTAATATATACTCTTAAATAACAGACAAAGTTCAATTTAAGACAGATAAGAAATATAATATATATTTTATTGGATAATAATGAGTTGAGATATTATTTAACAGTAATTTTAAAAAGATTAAATAAGATAAGAAAATTTAAAAATTTAGGATAAACTTTCTAAAATGAAAAGAAAGAATTGAATGGATAATTAATTCAATACATTGATTCAAATTTCAAATGCATTAGAAATAAATATATTTCCATACTAGTACAACAAAACTAAATGTTTGATGAGATAAATTTAAGTTGGAAAATATCTTCTTTATAAATTTATGCATAGCATAACAGAAATGTACATTATACTATGAACAAATTTATGTCAAGACTATATACAATTTGATGTAAAATTTTGTTAAATTATATACTAATTAATATAAATTTATTTAGATTATATGTATAATTTAATGTATATTTTTTTATTGTTTTTTTTAAAATTGACTTTGACATGTATTATTGTAAATTAGAAAATTCTCAAAATAAAATATACAATTCATTAACCCTTTCAAATAAATCATGTAGTATAACCTAAAAACATAAATCCTAAGTTCTATATTTTGAATGAAAAGGAAAATTTAATCTAAACAACAAAATAGTCTAAACTACATTATTATATGTGCTAAAAAAATAATAATATGTTTGTCCAACGTTATCTTATTCGGATAATGTCCTTTTATATTATAGGTGGTCAATTGAAAATCTCATGATACAATTTTATTAAAAGTATGATATAATTGATAACACATTAAAATGTGTTATGTTTATCAAGTTGTTAATAATTCTAGTTCAAATAATGACTTTCATCTAGTATTTGAAGTAATAATTTTCTTCATATAAACTATTATGTTTATTAAAAAAAAATTATATATATATATATATATATATAAATAAAATTTCCAGAACATAATAAAATAGGGGTGTTACAATTATTAATTATATATATCTTAAATATATTTTATAATATATTAAGATATATACATAAATATTTAGCTCGAAAGTGAAAGAATAAGGTTTAGGTGGACTAAACTAGCTTTATCATTATTCAAGTATTTTGTGAATGAATTTAATTCCAACAATTGTTGGAATATGTTGCATAGGTTTAACAAGGGTGTTGCTCCCTCCACCACCCCAAGTGTTTATGTACCTCTCCACTATTTTTTTTTATTCCAAAAATATTTTATACCTTCCCACTATTTCCTTTTATTCCAAAAATACCTTACACTTTCCCACTATCTTCAACGATCTTTCTTTTTCTCTCTCTACGTTAATGGAGCATTCATATGGCTTAGATTTAAACTTGTGATATATTGTAAAATATAAAATTCAGAGGAAACTTCAATATTAGTGCTTCTACCACTTCCATTTTATAAACTTAAAAGTTAGATGCAAATACAAAATAATAAACATAATAATATTAATAGGAAATAATATATTATTATTATATACTAACTTTATAATGACGAAAGAACTAAATAAATTCCAAATCTTTAACAAATAAATTTTCTTTTATATTTTAAGTATTTAATAATATTTTTATATTATTTATCTAATAAATTAAACATTTTATTCAAGTTATTTGAGTCAAACATGTCGGTAAGTTAAAACATAATATAATATTAAAAATTATAGATATTAAATGTAAAAAAAACAGACACATATATAAACATTTTTCTAGAAATTTAGAACAAAATTTTACCATTTATTAAGTAATTTGGAGAAAAAAAATATATTGAACAGTGAAAATAAGATTGAATCAAACTTATTTAAGGAAAAGTGTAAATAAAATTTTGCAATATATCACAAATTTAAATCTGAGACATGTGAATGCTCCATTAATGTGGAGAGAGAAAGAGAAAAATTGTTGAATATAACAGGAAAGTGTAGGGTACTTTTGGAATAAAAGAAAATAGTAGAGAGGTGTAGAGTATTTTTGCAATAAAAACAAATAGTGAGGAGGTGCAGGAGCACTTGGGTGGTGGAGGGAGCAACACCCGCCTAACAAATATGCATTATGGATTAATGCAAGTATGTTCTTTTTCAAAACTTTGTTTGATAAAAACCAATTTTTGGAAGAAAAACATTCATAAGTGGAGATTTTTGTAATTATGACATTGTATGCAAGTTGAAAATTTTTCAGGGGTGCGGGAAGCAATTGCAAAAACAATTGGGTGAGTTGGGGGAATAAGTGGAGATTAAGGATGGGTAAAAAATCTAAA